AAAGGGGTTTTAATTGAGGAATACAGCTTGACCTGGGCAGACCAAAGTAAAAATCCAAAGCATTTTTCAAGCAGAAAGAGATGGCTACACAGAGGGGGGAAAAGGGAAATACAAATCACCAGGGACTCACATATGTGAGTATATGTTTTACAGTAGCCACATTTAAGAAAAAAATGAAACAGGAGAAGTTCATAGTAGATAAGCTCCCTTTTAACTTGAAATCTTTTGAAATTTAAGTCAGCTACTTGACTAGGAAAGAGTGGGTGAGTTACCACCAGTGTAAATTGTTCCAGGCGGTTAGGTCATACATGAGTTTAGTCACTTAAACAGTATTTTGGTCAGTTTTACATGACTATACTCATGAATACATTTCCCCCCAGAAGAACTGTTTACATCTTGACATATTCTTCCCAAATAGATTATATCCTGACATTTTGTTTCCTAGGCATACATGTTGGTTCCATCATTCTTATGTCTGACATGAATGTCTCCAGTCTGCAATGTTTTCATTTAAATTTGTATACAAAGGTTATAATTACAGCAGGAAATTCGTGGGGGCAGAGGAGGTTAAATCTGGTTGTACTGTCATACATTAGGAATGATTTCTTAGAAACACAGTCCAGATTCTCAAACTGAGGTTTGCTGTTCCAAGCCACGGCTGTAGTTTCAAGTAATAACTTTCCAATATTTTGTTTCTGACAGAGAAATTTGTGTGTTGTGGAGAATGCAGAAGGGAGGATTACAAATCAGTAGGCAACTAACTAAAATAACCCTTTCTGCTGATATTGCACTACTCAGACTAAAAAGACAATGGAATATGATCATATCACTTAACATTTTTTATAGAACTTGTAGGAATATATAGAAGGCTCAATGTTAAAGAAAAGTTTTAGAGTAGAGCTTCTCATAGAAATATGCAAGTCACTAGGGACTCACACATGCAAGTATATTTTCTACTAGTCTCATTTTTAAAGTAAAAAGAAATAGGTGAAGGTTTATTTTATTAATCACTTCACTAAGTACAACAGATTCAAAATATAATTTCAACATGCAATCAATATAAAAACTATTAATGTGGTAATTTATATCCATTATTGGTCTTAAGTGTTTTAAATGTGATGTGTTTTACATTTAAAGATCAGCAAAAAAGTCGGAAGCACTCATAGCTGGCCTTGCAAGATCAGGGAAGGAGATTGCCCATCTTTCTCCAGCAGGGCAGCTGGTAAATTTGAACTGTCTACCTTTGGGTTGACAGCACGATTCCTTATCAACTAGGACACCAGAGCTTCCCTTCACATGTATAGATCATCTCAGTTGTGACTGTTATTAGTAGCCATCATGTCGACTCTGACTTCAAAGCTGTGACCTTTGAGTAGCAGTTAGTGATGTGTTTCTGGGTTATGTTCAAACCACTCATTGTTGACCTTTAAGCGGGTTTGAGGAGGCTGTAACTTGAACGGGAGGAGACTGCCCATCTTTCTCCCCCAGAGCAGCTGGCCCATTCCAGTCAAGGCAAAGGCGCCACCTTTGGGTTAGCAGCGCAACTCCCCTCGGACTATGCTACAAGGTTCTATCAAGTAAGCAACCTTATTTTACATACCCCATAACCTCATGTGACTGCTGTGTACTGTCGAGTCTGGAACCGACCGACAGCTGGCCCTCCAGCAGGTTTTCAGAGTCAGGAAATCGCAAGGGAGGAGATTGCCCATCTTTCTCCTGCGGGGCAGCTGGTACCTTTGGGTTGGCAGCACAACTCCTTACCCTATAGGCCACCATATTAAGTTGCGTAAGTTTAGAGGGTGGAAACAGCTATTTGTTTAAAAAATAGCTTCACTTAGGTTTCTCTCTGTCTCTTCTTTTTTTGTTAGTGTTCTCTTGTTAAATCAGAAAGGGGAGTGCAACAATGAATGATGGGAAACTCTAAGTCTCTGTTAACTTTCATTAAAATTGATTAAAAAATTTAAAAAAAGGGGAGAGAAAGCCCCCTCTATTCAGGGCAATATCAGCTTCCACAGTCAAATGAGGCAAGACCACTTCGATAAAGATGTAAAACCTCTGAAACCTGAGGAGTTCTGTTCTGTCCAAGGGGTTGCTAAGCCTCTGAGTCAACCTGATGGCAGTGGGTTTATATTTAAATAATTCTTTTTTGCTCTTATCTGCTGGAAAACTTCCATCGCCTAATCCCCCTCCCACTCTGCAATTCAGTCAGCTAAAGTGAGTAGTTGTTTTTTATTTTAAAAAAGTAGTTAAATTACTCTTTGTTTTATATATATATATATGATTGTTAATAACAATCCCCACACACACACATTCTGCCTTTCAGCGAATGGAAGAAGAAGGATGTTTTTCCAAATCAATTCAGATCTTTATCAGGTTAATGCTGTGTGGAAGACAGCTGTCCTTGTAGTGCATTAGCCTGTTATACTATCAGTTTATTTGATGTTTAATGCCCAAATTGTCACCACTGCTCCCATTAGTCTTACTGATCAATGAACTGTGTTATAAAGGTATTCCTTTGTTCTACGTATGAAAACAATCTGGAACAAGGGGTGCATGGCGGGTGGGCTGGGGAAAGGGAGGAGAAAAATGTTACAAAAAGTTATTCCTTTTAGCCTCAAGGTAAAAAAAAAAGAAGTTGATACCGAAAATTGCTATTTATTTTCTTTTTTTTTTTTTTTAAAAAAAAAGGTAAGTTTATCTAAGCATTCAATGCCAGGTTTATCTTTCATTTGCATTGCAAAACCACATCCCAATTCCTTAGTGCCCTGGGAAACTTTTGAGGAATTTGGGATGTGATTTTGCAATGTAAATGAAAGGTAAAGTAGGCATTGTTATATAAGGGCAAAATAACCCACAACTCCTTCTCTTAGACCTTCGGTCTTCCACTGCCAGCGGGCCCTAACGTCAGGAGTTATACAGATGGAGCTGCCACTTTTGGTGAGTCTGAGTCTAGGTAGGAATTGCAGCATGTGAAGAAGGTTTGTGCAGGTGACAAAAGCCGAGCAAATTGGCTCCTTCCATCTAGTCTCCTAGGCCACACTGAGCTTGCCCAGATGTTGCTCAATCCTGAGCTATGTGCCCGGGGTCGGGGATGCCAGAGAGGGCTCTCAGCGAGGATTTCCGACTCTCCAGCTCCCTACCAGATGGGACCTCCCCAGGTAGCTCAAAGGATCTAGATAGAGCCCAAGTCCTGCGGTTCACTGGCTCAGTTCCGAACCTCTCGCTAATTGCGCAGACTGGGTCGGTTAGGTGTGGGGCTCTAATCCTATGTGCTTCCACCTGCTCAGGGAGGAAGGCGGAGGCGCTCCAGGTGTCTGCGCCGGGAAGGATGAAAGGGAGCTGCTCCCAGGCAGATGCAGGGAGCGCGGGGACGAGCTGTGGTGGCGGGGCGTGGGAGACCCAGTACGTCTGGGCCGCGGCCTACTGGCACCAAAGGACTGGATGGCCTAGAGTGTGACCTACAGAGTTCTCTTGCTTTTTTTCCTTTCCAACTTGCATGGCATTTGGCAGTGGCTGTAGTAGCTTTCCACACAGCTCAGAAGACTTTTACACTTTGCTCTCTGGGCGGGCACAATCCAGCGTGCGCTGCACCTAGCGGGATGGCTGTGGGGTCAGATCTTTCTATGACCCACTCAAGACAGCTATTCCCAAGCTCTCCTTTTTCCTCAGGGCTCCATCGCTAAGGAAGGATTTTCTAAGCCCAGGATTATCCCATCTCGGCCCACAGGAGGAGTCAGATAGCTCTTGGCCTTCTCCTCCTCCTTCTCCACCCGTGGGCAGCCAGACTTTTCAATTATTTAAAGTCAACAGATGAGCAGGAAACCCGCACATCTGCCTACAAGATTTTTTTTTTAAAAAAGAAAAAAATCAATAACTCCTTGACCTCTGCGGAAAGAGGAGCAGCTTTCCGTAACCTCCCTATATCCTCCTTCACAAAGATTGAGGCAGAAGGGAGAGAGGGCTTGGGATCCTGGGCTGAAGCCCGAGGACTCAGCGGGCGTGGGAAGGGATGTGAGAGTGGTGAGTGATGCAGAACGAATGCAACCTGAATGTCAAACACAAAACACGGGGGTATTTACTTCAAGAGCCTTGCATTCCATTGGAAGCCGAGCCACGAGCCACGGGGAGCTCGGGGCCCTCAAGCTTCCCATGTCCCTGTCTGAGGTGAGGCAGGTGAATGGCCAGCGGGTGACCCCGGAGGGCGGGTTCTAGCCCCGGCGCGCCAGCACAAACCTCCGAAGGAGGCTGGCTGAGTAGACACAACAGGGGCAGCCGGCCTGGGACTGCACCCCATGTGCCTTGCTCTCTCCCCTCTTCCTCTGGGCGGGGACCATTGCTCCTATCATCCCCTACGAGCCTCTGACCTGCTCAGACCTGTGGTAGTTACATCTTCCCCGCCGCCCGCCGCTTTTGCCTCGCCGCTCCTTTTTCCCTCGCCTCTCTTCGACGCCCCCAGATCTCCGGGGCTCGCCCTTCCTGAAAGTAGGCGAGGCCCCAAAGCTGAGGCTGGAAAGAAGGGAGGGAGTAGTGAGGCGCACAGCGCGGCGGACTTTGAGGGCGTGGCCTCTGCAAGCCCCGCCCCGGGTGCGCGCGGCGGCGGCCAGCCTCGCTCTGAGAGACAGGTATCGCTTAGGCGCCATGTTGTGAGCGGAAGTGGGGAGCGCGCGGCGGCCGCTGATCTGCTGGGAGCGGGCGCGGGAACGGGCGGGGGGGCGGAGCTGTAGTCGCGGCGGCGGAAGGAGGCGAGGAAGAAAGGGGCGAGACCCCGTGCCCGGCGGCGGCGCGAGGCTCTCCCTCGACGCGCGGGCGTCTACTGCGGGGCGCGCAGCGTTGGGGCGATTGGTGTCGGTGTCGAGCCCTCTCCCGGGCTGCCGCCGCTGCGGGCTGCTGCTACTGCTGCCGCCGCTGCTGCCGTGGGGCTCGGGCGGCGACGGAGCGGGGCGGGCGGGGCGGGAGGAGGCAGTGAAGGCGGCGGGCGGGGGGGTTTTGGAGGGGGGAAGATGCCACTGGCGCAGCTGGCGGGCCTGTGGCAGAAGATGGCTGTGGAGAGCCCGTCCGACAGCGCAGAGGTGAGTGTGGCGGGGCGGCCGGGCGGCGTGAGTCCCCTCCCCTCGCCCGGCCGGCCGGCTCGTTCCCTCCCGGGAGCCTGGCCACTCGCTGCTTCCTTGCCACTCATGTTTCTTTTGGTCCGGGATTCCCGTTCGGGGAGTTGGGGTTGGTTGGTTTGTCCATCTCTGACTGTTCTTCCATCGGCACCCTCGCCTCACTCGCTCGCTCGGGGGTCGGCTGGGGTGGCGGCGCGTGGGGTTTGGAGTGGGCGCTGGGGCTTCGCGAGGTGCCAATTGTCATCAAGTTTGCGTGGGGGCCGCGGGAGGCGGAGCGGGGAGCGGCGGGGAGTTGGGAAGTTTGGCCCTGCCAGATCGAGGGGCTTTCCCGGACCTGGAGGACTTTCAGGGATATGGACTCGGGTTTTCGGGAATCAGGATGAGGGAGGAGGTGGCTGTGGGGAGACAGGCGCACGGAGGCAGGAAGGGCCTGGGGCAGGGGTGGCGATTTGTGGGGGTTTCGGTAAAGTGCTGGACAGCCAAGAGATTTTTCCTTTCTCAGTCTGCCGCAACTGCTGCTGCAAAGGAGAAAGTGGGATCCTGAGGTGCACACACACACAACACACACGCGCGCGCGTACGTTTCTGAGGTCGCTGAGCTCGAGAACTCTGTCCCCGCGAGTTAAACTTGAGTTTCCTGCCCATGGAGGTGAAAAGGTGATATTCAAGGAGATCCGTGGCCGCCCCAAAGATCTTTCTGGATTTCCACCCTAGATCAGTAACCATCCCAGAAGCACGCACACCGAATCCCATTCCAGCGCCCAACAGGACCAAACAGCTACATCCCAGCTCCACGCCCTTCAAAGCCGCCCCTGTCCCAGCACCAACTTGGGGTCTGTGAAAATTAAGGCAAGAACCCTCCCGGGACGGTGGTGCGCCTCTCTGGAATGGAAATGAGCCACGGGGTCGCAGGAGTTAAAATTCTAGGCTAGTAACTAGAAAGTCAGTGGTTTGAACCCACCAGCCACTCTGCCGGAGAAAGAAGTGACAGCCAGCTTCCGAGGCAATTTAGAGCCTTAAAACCCCTATGGGGCCGATCCTTTCCGCCCTACGTAGGATGGCAACGGGCTTGGCTAGCTTTGATTCTGGGCTCCAGAATGGAAAATCAGTTCCTGATGGTGGCGCGTTTGATTCTTCTTTACTTTTTACTGTCCTCTCGCCCCACAAGCGGACTTTAGGGGATTACAGGATGCTGGGCTAAGTGTGTGTAATAGTTACTGAGTGAGTGACCCCATTTCTGGAAAGCATGACTGAAACGCGGGGGTGGCCCGGGACCAAGCTCTGATGAGTGGTGTACTTGGCGACCAAGCTCTGATGAGTGGTGTACTTGGCGGCAGCCACTGGCCCTGCCGGCCTCCGCAGTGTGAGAGGTGGATAGGGTTACTGGTTACGTCAGTGAGACCATGGCTGTTTGATCTGAGATGCGGGACACTTGCATTCTTGGGCATAATAGAGGGGGGGGAGAGGGAGGGGCTCAAATAGCTTTTCCGCGGCTTCCTCGTCACCTTCACTGTTGTATTCAATGTTTACTTGCTCTTCCCAGCGTGGAGCTGAGTGCTTACGATTAGTGCGTTGTATTTTGCAACTTGGATCATACTTTAAAACCTAAACGAAATGGTGCTCTTGAAAAGAGACGTCGCTATATGTTACTGCACCCCCTCCAAAAAAGGAGAAAAAGAACGAAGTCATGTTTTTAAGTCTGGCAGAATTACTGGAATTTAATTTAAAATTAACTGGTTAGCCATTCTGATTACCGTAAATCTTCTATAGGAAAGTTAGACTTTGATTTTTCATCATCCTTTCCATAGAGTGAGGAAAATAGTATGCCAGGGGGCGCTTTTCATTCATTTTTTGCCCCCTGAGGAAAAAAAAATTGCATTAAATAAGATAACTAAAAGATTAACAAAATACATTTTTCATAGTACTGAGCTTATCGAAAGCAATTGAATTTGTTTTGAGCACAGGCAATATTTGCAAATCAGAATCTGGCTTCATTTCTGGTTGAGAAACTTTTTTTTTTAAATCCCTTTACTCTGTATAGCATACATTTGGATATGTAAAGGTAGAAAAATACCGTTTATCAGCTACTAAGGGACCTTTGGCAGCTTGGTCCATAGAGAGCTTCGCTGCTAACTTGAAGGACACACCTCTCAGTTGGAATCCAGGAGCAGTTCCTTGGGAGAAAGATGGGCAGTGTCCTCCGATTGTGATTTACAGCCTCACGAGTCCATTTCGACTCAAGAGCAATAAGTAGATGTTAAGCACTGTGCTACATTATCTCATTTTATCCTTTCTGTGACAGAGTCAATTGCAGAGCTATAATTTAAAGCCAGGTAGATATAATTCATGTATTTTGCTTTGTTAGTGTATCTGCCTAAAATCCTTTGTGGGAAAATTCAGGTTATTAAGAAGTCCTGTATTTTTTTCAGAAACAGTTTAGATTAATGTAAGAGGTTTGACTTTAAACCCCAATTAGTTACTGTCATATTTTGCAGAACTGGCAGATAGGATTCTAAAGTTTGCTTTTTTTAAAAAAAGTCCTTATTCTTCTTGCAAGATGTATCAAACAGCCACTACTACCTAGGTTTTAAATCTAGATTCTAATACATTCTCTTTAGATGCTTTGTTAGCTTTGCTTCTCAGCTGTTCCAGATAAATGACTTCTGACACATATTTGGTTATTGAAGCCAGTGAGAGAAGAGTTGAAGATTTTCATTCAGAGGTGTGACGTTGATTCCCACTATTCTTTCGTCATCTTCCCCAGCAGCTTACTATTGAAAATCCTGCATTTCATCGGAAGGTCATTACTTTAATTTTCATAACAGTATTTGAGTAAATACATGAAATGTTTTTCTCTGAAATCTAAAAGATTTCAAGATTAGTCTGTCCAGATCTTTCTATTCAGTGGTCTCATCTCTAGTGGACTGAATTCTTGAGAGTAGGAACCCTTTGTATTCTCAGCAGTTAACATGGTGCACAATAAATAAGTCATGATAGAGACAGGTGATAACATTTCTTATCTCAATTCTTAACATTTTAAATTTACATCGAAATAAGAACCATCTAATGAGACTCAAGTACCCCACCCCCCCAAAAAACCCAAACCAAAACTAAGGGCAGTTTCTTTATTCTTTTACATCATAGCCTTCCTGCTTCCTGCTTTAGGACCTCCCACAGGTCTCATGGTGTTCAAAACAAAATGAAAAACCTTGTGGTTGAACTCAAGCATGAGTCAAAACATGATAGGCTAGAACTTGGCCAAATGTTTAAAGAAGGAAATTTAGGATAATACAGGAAGTACTATGTAAGCAAAGTAAGGGTTGGTACAGGCTAAAAAACAAATAACTGCCAAATGGTGTGGATGATTCCAGGATTCTTAAATGAGTTACTTAAAAGATACTGGTATGAAAAAAATAAACAGAAAGATACTGGTATGGGTTTGGCTATTTATTTGACTGTGTAGAGATTAATATCAAAGAATTATGCCTCTTCTGTTCTACAGATTGCTTGCCACTGCTGTCAGGAACATTTACTGGATTATAAACCTGACCTAGAATGACAAGTTCCCTCAGTGTCACTAGAGTAAGAATAAATTGTAGTAGACCTACATATGAACAATTTAAAAAATTATAAAGTGAAGAAGGGATTTTTGCTTTATAGAAATGGGCTAAAATAAAAATGGCCATCTTGAGTTTCTTTAAATACCAAACACAATATATTGAAAACTGTAAACTATATCAAGACTTTATTAAAAATGAGACCCCTTGTGTTGGAGACTCTCTTTAGTAAATGAGTGCACTAATTTTTAATCTTAAAGATCATATTGGATTCTGTAGTACTTCTATCAGATAACTGTTATGTAGTTTTAAAAATAGGTGGCCTAGTGGTAAGAAACTGCACTGTAATCCCAAATGCACATGATTCGAATCCACCAGCTGCTCTTTGGGAGAAGGATGGACAGTCTCCTCCTGTGTGGTTTACTGTCTCTGAAAACCAGCTGGAAGGTCAACTATGGGTCAGTTCCAACTCAATGGTATGCAGCAACATAGGGGGTAAACATTCTGTTGAGGTTTAATTGTTAACTTTTTGGAGGAATAAAAGGTTGATTAAGCTTATTTTCCTTTTCCTGTTTCATTTTTGCCATCTTTCAGGTTTGGTTTTTTTCCCCCTTTCCCTCAGGTGAAGAACTGAGGAGAGGACAGGTCATCTCTCAAGTAACTGTAAAACATTACTGAATACTTCTCTGTTTTCAGCGATTATAGTATATGCCAGTTTCTGGTAAATGAAAATTTAGGCAAGTTTGCTTTATTTTGGCAACTTGACACATCATTTTGATCCTATACCAATAGGGTAGATCCAAAATGTGAGACTTCTTGAGTGCATTTACATTTTAAGATAGAAATAAACATATCAAATTAAAGCTACTTACCTGCCCTTTAAAAATATTTCTCTGGAAAAATCACAAGAAATACACTCAAATATGGAACAATTAGGATAGGCACTCCTGACCAAGGACTCGACATTCAGTGAATTGTGGGCAAACTACCTTGTTACCTACAACCCCTCCCTATTTATGAAGCAACCCTCCTAAAACCTATTGTATTTAAACATTCAAGGTACATAACAATGGTTAGTAATAACAAATGAGTGCTAGTTAAAATTACTGTGTTAACAACTTCTTAGTGTATCTGGGAGTGTTTTTAAATGTCTTTTAATCATTGAAGGGTACACAATGTACGACACCCACTCCTCACTTATTGACCAACATTGTTATTGCCTGACTTAAAGCATAAAGTTGTTGTTGTTGTTGTTATGTGCCTTCAAGTCGTTTTCGACTCATAGCGACCCTATGCACAACAGCCCTAAACCCTGCTCTATCCTGCGCCAACCGCACCGCCTCTGACACACCCATCCCGATTACCCCAGTCACCGAATCAATCCATCTCATAGAGGGTCTTCCCTTCC